ATGTATTTTACCACATGCAGTCATACCTCCTGTGCATTATGAATGATATTCAATTACCAAGAAATAGAGTTAGCCACATACAGTCACACCTACTGTGCGTGCTACCATGTTCGCTGTAACAGCTAATCAATGGACCAGGTTGCATATATTATATTCTTTTTTTGATGAATTGCTTCATATGCTTTGTCCTGCTACAGGTTGCCAGGCTTTCCATGCAGTGGATAAAAGAGTTATTCTCTGCACATAATAAGTGGATGAATCCTATCTATACTAAGTGGGAACTTTGCATAGGCGTGGATGAATTCTATCTATTTTTAGTAGTTTAGCATTAGCATTTAGAACGAAACAATGACAAACTGAGAAAATTCAGTAGTTACGAATATATTTGTAGAGCTATGGCAGAAATGTTATATCCTGTGTTTTGAAAAGGCATTAGAAAAGCAAGATGCAGATGAACAATTTACAGTGACAGATCACTGAGAAGTAGGATATTGCAATGCTTTTCTGCTTTCCTCTCAGTCTTATGCCAATACGTCATGCCTTAGGTAGAATCAGGATTTATGTCGGCCTTTCTATAATACTTGTAATTCTGCATTGATTTCAGGAAATGTGTTGTGAAGGAATCAATGCAAATCCAAGGTAACTGAATAACTGCCCTGACCTCTCTTTCTTCCTGTTTGATGTATATATGGCATAAGACTAATTCCAATGAATAAAAGTTTAATATCTGAAATATAAAATATTTGACAGGCTCTACAGAATTATTATCCAGGTTAATCATGGACTGTTGTATGCTTGGATGGCATTAGATCGTTTTCTCTTGCTTCTGGAACAGTTACATAGTGTAAACGCGTGATGAACTGTTGTGTACTCTTGAAGGTTAATCTTGATATATGCTTCAGTTGGAGGTTAATCTTGGAGAGAATTCCTTATTTGACACCAGACAAATGACCCGTTCATTTCTTGGCCCTCAAAAAATTTCCGTTCCCTATTTGACACCGAGTTCAACTTTCGTTCCTTATACGACACTCCGTCGGATTTGCCATCCGTGAACCATTAACTGACATGTGGGCCCCACCACCCTTCTCCCCTTCCCCTCCCCTTCTCGGCCGGGGGACGCCCGCCTGCCCGAGGGTTGCGAGAGGATGGACATGCTCCGGTCTCAGGACGAGGTGCCTCGCTACTTCGTGGCCAACAGAGCGTTCGGCGAGGCAGTGGCGCGGTACTGCCTCGGCGAGGCGCCACGACGCCGTCCGAGCTGCATCATCTCCGGGATGTGCCAGACGTGGGTGCTAGGCCTGGCGCGCGAACTCGGGGCGTGCCCTACTACGTCTTCCACGGCTTGGCGCTTTCGCTTTGGTTTGCTCGCGATCGAGTACCTGTACAAGCACAGGCCGCACGAGGCTGTCGCGTCGGACGACGAGCTATTCGACGTCCCGGCGCTGCCGCCTTTCCAGCTGAGGCTGTCGCGTAGGCAGCTCCCGCCGCATTTCATGCCGGTCACTTCTGTCGGTGGGAAGGCGCTGCAGGGGATCCGAGATTTCGACGCGGGCGCGGGACGGCATCGTGGTGAACACCTTCGACGAGCTCGAGAGCGGCTCGGCGGCGCTTCTCGCGGAGGCGACGGGCAAAAAGGTGGTTGCCGTCGGGTCCGTCTCGCTGTGCCGCTCACCGAGTCTCGACCCTCAGTCCATGTCGAGTGACGCGAGGCGATGCATGGCGTGGCTGGACGCCAAGGAGGCCAAGTCCGTGGTGGGGCAGTGCCGGGAGCATGCCGCCCGCTCAGCTCATGCAGCTCGGCATGGCTCTTGTCTCATGCCCCTTGCCAGTGCTCTGGCTCATCAAGGGCGCCGACTCCCTGCCCGACGACGTCAAGGATTGGCTGCGCGAGAACACCGACCCAGACGGCGTCGCGGGCAGCAAGTGCCTGGTGGTGCGCGGGTGGGCGCCCCAGGTGGCCATCCTGGCCCATCCAGCCATTGGCGGCTTCATGACGCACTGTGAATGGGGCTCCACTCTGGAGGCCGTTGCAGCCGGTGTGCCCATGGCAATCTGGCCCTTTTTTGCCGAGCAATTTATCAACGAGCAGCTCATCGTCATGAAGCCGCTCATCGGAGGAGATGGACGTTCGGTCGGTCAGTGCTCATGGCCGCGCGACGGGACGCGCCCCTAGCCGCGCGAGCGCGCCTGCGCCGCCACCTCCACGCGCGGATGCGCCCCGTCCGAGCGCCGCTGTCGCGGGGCCACTCTCCAGGCGAGAAGGGGAGGAGAAGGGGAGAAGGGTGGTGAGGCCCACATGTCAGTTAACGGTTCACGGATGGCAAACCCGACGGAGTGTCATATAAGGAACGAAAGTTGAACTCGGTGTCAAATAGGGAACGGAAATTTTTTTAGGGCCAAGAAAGGAACGGGTCATTTGTCTGGTGTCAAATAAGGAATTCTCTCTTAATCTTGATATATGCTTCAGTTGGAGGTCTTCTTGCCTTCAGTGCTCATGAGAATTTGAGCCGTTATTTTTTCTGTAACTTTCGCATCATCTGATACACCATGTCACTTGCATCTCTTGGATTTACAATTCAGGTGATAAACTACCGGGGCATTGACATAATCATAGTTGGATGTGGGATTATAAAGGCAAGCGATCCTTTGAAGACTGCATGGGAGTATGTACCGCTTGCAAGGGTTAGGACTCAACTGCGGAGGAGACTTCCACTGTATGCACCATCACCATTTGTGTTAAATCACTCTGTTCTTGTTGCTTGAGTTGGGCATTGTGATACCGGTGTTGGGTTATATTGTATTATTGCCACTTGAGCTCCATCACGCTCGAAGTATTCTTTGAAACATTCATATTCGTATTATCATGATATTACTCTTTCCCGTTGCAACGTATAAAACATGCCGTAGATATGTAACCAATAGGAGCGCAGGCTGTTTTCTCCGGCGATCTGGAATCATGCCGCACGCTGGACACGACGGTCCGATCATTGCGATTGCCCATAGGCCATATTCCCCAAATACCGCTCCAAACGGAAAAGGCATACATTAACAGGAACCGGTAGGTAGGTCGATCGGTCGATGAGGTCAAAGCATGTCTCACGATTATTATAGGCTCTATATATCAATCGGCTGTGCATCGCCGGATAAGTACGCATGCAGCACAGCTGCATAAGCAAACTCCATGCAAAAGCAGGGGAGTGCCAGGGGAGATAACAATCAAGTGCTTGCATTGCAGTTTACTGTTCTTAACTTTCCAGTCTGGTGTGTGAAGGATGCCTGCAGATTTGTTATTTCCATATTCCTATTGGGAGGTCGTTGCGTTGATCGCGCCTGATCTCATCTGATGGCCAGTATTTTATGCCCCAGTTGACCATTGTCATTACCCTCGACACAGTGTCACTCTCTGTTGCCGGTAGTTCAATGTACTGTTTTAACGGGATTTTTCATAAAATAATCCAAATGTTCAGAAGTCCTTTTTGCCGAATTTTCTAAAAAAAATGCCAAAATTGAGGGAGCCGATAAGTTTGTATGGACTATATATGGACGCAGCATGGCACTGTCCAAAAATGTCCACCTTTAACAGTTAGGACCTGATGCAAATCATGTAGCAAACTGGTGGCTCCGTACCAACAGGTGGCGGAGATTCTTCAGCGCCCGGGACGAATCGGTCCAAGAAGAATGCCAATCGCTTTTCTTTTCCTGTCTGGTGCAATGTGTGCAGGCTGCTGATGCTGATCGACTCCAACTTTCCTGTTTGCCTACTTCGCTACGGTATTCATGCTGGTCAAATTTCTTAAGTTTGAACAGATTTATAAAAGAACATTAGCAACATTTCATCTCGAAATAAATTTATTATGAAAATAGATTCAATGATCTATCTAATGATACTAATTATATACTCTCTCTATCCCTGAATAAATAGATTACTAGAGTTTTCTTAAGTCAAAATTTTTTAAACTTTGATCGAAATTTTAGAAAAAAAAAGTTATTAAGACTTATGTATCATTAGATTTACCATAAAATATATTTTCACAAGGTGCTCATTTTATGATATAGATGTTGTTACTCTTTTCTGTAGAGTTAGTCAAACTTAAAAAAAATTGACCAACACGGATTAGAGGAATTGATTTATTTGGAGACGGAGGGAGCACCATAACTATTAATATTTTTCCGTAATTATTTGGTCAAAGTTAAGAATGTTTGACTTCTCGAGAAATGAGAACGACAGGTATAAAGGACAGAGGGTTGATGTGATAGCCAGATCTAGAGCTCCTGGCTCCGTGCATCCTAGCACGGATTTTTTTTTTGTCTGAAGCTTGCAAATTTGGGCTGTTCTCATCTCACAATTCGAATGTTGATTTAATTTGTGATCAGTTCCTAGTGTTTAGACTGATAGTAACCACAACAAGCACTATCCCTGCCGCTAACCCCCTTTAATTTGGTATAAGTGCAGGTAGCCAGGAGCCATACGTGCATAGTGGGAAGTTCAAAATCCACTCAGAGTCTCAGACTCTATAAAAAGGAATTCGGCTCTGTCTGATAATTTTATCTCCTTTTCGTAAAAAAAATAAAATATATATATGTTGTCTTCTCTGCATAAACAAAACGTGTGAAATATCAAAGTAGGAGACACGGTCAGTTCGACAAGGTGGGAAAATATGAGACGTGGTGATGGTACTGGTAGCTAGCTAAGAATGGACACCCAAATTTTACATGTGAAAAATGAAGCCTGGCGTTTCAAAAACTCAAATCAAAAGCACTGTGCCACCAACTTACACTTTATTCCTTATTATTTTTTAACGAAATTAAGTAATCGCAAAATCACTGCTGCTGTGCTGCACAGCCGTATATATTCCAACCAGTGGTACAATCGATAAGCAACAAACCTGCAGCTAAGCTAAGCGCTTCTCTCGTAAGTGAGCTTAGTTAGTGATCGTGATCGGCCCGCAGCACCTACGTACGTGGCGAGTACGTGCAGGGCCGGCGAAGGACGACTAGCAATGGCTTCCTCCGATCATCCAGACACCAGCCGTCACGGGCCGCCGCCGCTGGTGTTCGACGAGGTCCGGTGGGTGGTCCAGATCCGGCAGTCCCTGGAGGAGGACGCCCCCGGGGACGACGACGACGACACGGGCATCCCGGTGTCCGTCTTCAACGTGCCCAAGCCGCTGCAGGTGCACAAGCCGGAGGCCTACACGCCGCAGTTCATCGCGCTGGGGCCCTACCACCACTGGCGGCCCGAGCTGTACGAGATGGAGCGCTACAAGCTCGCCGCCGCGCGCCGCGCGCAGAAGCGGCTCCGGGACGGCGGGGTCAGGCTCGACGCGCTCGTCGACCAGTTCAAGCGCCTCGAGCGCAAGGTCCGCGCCTACTACCACCGCTACCTCGACTTCAGCGGCGAGACGCTCGCGTGGATGATGCTCGTCGACGGCGCGTTCCTGCTCGAGTTCCTGCAGGTCTACGCGGTCGCCGCGGCCAACGACGGCGACGTCGCCACCGACGGCAAGGCACTGCGGAGGGTGTCGTCGAGGATGCAGCACCTCGTCGACTTCGCCGGGAGGAAGTCGGCGCACAGCCTCATCCTCCGCGACATGCTCATGCTCGAGAACCAGGTCCCGCTCTTCCTCCTCCGCAGGATCCTCGAGCCGCAGTGCGCGTCGCCCGCCGAGGCCGGCGAGCTGCTCCCGCGGATGGTCACCGGGCTCATGAAGGAGCTCTGCCCGTTCAAGATGCTGGACAAGTTCCCCGCGATTGACGTCACCAAGAACGCGCACCTGCTCGAGGTGCTCTACTATCTGCTTGTGCCGAAGCCAGACGATGGCGGCGCGGCGGAGGCCGACGCCCACGGTAGTCGCCGCGAAGACGGCTACGACATCGAGGAGCAGCCGGTGGACGGCGGCGGCGGCGATGAAGAGCAGAAACCAGCCGCCGGCTGCGAGTACGTGAAGCAGCTGCTGCTCACCGTGTCGAGCATGGCGTCGGGGCTCAACAGCGGCCGGATGCGCTACGTGACGACGCCGATCGCGTTCGCCGTCAAGGCGCCGTGGAAGATGCTCACCGTCGTGCCGGGGTTCTCGGCGATGAAGCAACCCGTCGAGGCCTTCTTCATGTCCGGCGCCGACGGGAGCACGCACCACGCCCACGACCCGAACGGCGCGGGGTACCTCACCCGGCCGCCTCTGATCGAGGAGATCATGATCCCCTCGGTTTCCGAGCTCGCCAACGTGGGCATCCAGTTCTGCCCCACCTCCGGCGACCTGTCCACCATCGCGTTCGACGCCAGGACGGTGACGTTCCACCTGCCCGTGGTGACCCTAGACTCCAACACGGAGGTGGTGCTCCGGAACCTGGTCGCCTACGAGGCGTCGGCGGCGTCGGGCCCGCTGGTGCTGGCGCGGTACACGGAGCTGATGAACGGCATCATCGACACCGACGAGGACGTGGTGCTGCTGCGGCGGCGCGGGGTGGTGCTGAACCGGATGAAGAGCGACGGCGAGGTCGCCAAGCTGTGGAACGGGATGACGCGGTCGGTGCGGCTCACCAAGGTGGCGTTCATGGACAGGACGATCGAGGAGGTGAACCGCTACTACAACTCGCGGTGGCGCGTGAAGACGAAGCGGTTCATGCGCAAGTACGTGTTCAGCTCGTGGCAGCTGCTCACCTTCCTCGCCGCCATCATGATGCTGCTGCTCACCACGCTGCAGGCTTTCTGCTCCGTCTACACCTGCTCCCGGTGGTTCGGCACGGTGACGGTCGCGACGGCGGAGTGATTACTGATCAGATTCTTGCGCCTCTCTTGATCTGGCTACGCGACATGATGTGGGTGGGTTTGGCTTGGCTGGAAATAGTACAGTACACGGTTCATGGATAATGTGGTTGGGCATGCTCTTTTGTGTTGGTTGCTATTTGTTCTGATGTGTAGAGGGATTCCTTGCTTGTGATTGGTGACTGGTGAGATTAATAAAATTTGCGCATTGGCGCCATTTGTTTGAGGTTGTCATTATTGTTGTGTCCATGTAAATCTTATGATAATCAAAAAACATCTTCTGCACTACAGGTACTTGAAATCAGGCGTTGCTATCCTCGGGAAGACAATGGGTTTGGGCTCACAGGTGGTTGTGCCCTGCGGTCTTAGAAAGGGTCTTGGCTTAGGGGAAGTTCTCTCTAGGTGCTGACTACACTTGCTCCTCGCCTCTCGCGTCCGGGGCGACATGACTAGCTCCCAGTAACAGAACAGTTACGATTTCTTCCCTCTTAATAAAAAACACGTCTAAGTGCGTGTTTAAGAGAAAAAAGGAGGCTTGGCCACTTGGGAGGTAGGCTGCCTAGGTAGAGGCGGCGGGAGCAGAGAATCAGAGCGGCGAGGCCACCGTCAGCCATGGGTGGAGGAGGATGGTTGGCCAGAGAGGGGTGAGGGAGTTATGGAGATGGCCCAGCGAAGTCGGTTAGTACGGTGGGAGACAGCGGAGGTAGACTCGGCAACGAGGTCGCCGCTATGGACAGGAGACGGTCGGCGGCGTGGTAAGGAGCAAGAATTGGGAGTAGGTTCGCTGCGAGGAAGAAGAAATGGAGATTGAAGAAAAATAACAGCACCTAAGCTAGGAACTGTTGGACTGGCACCCAATACCTCCTGTTCATTGCCTGAAAAAATAAATGAACAAGCGCCTATAGTATACTAATCTCCTAAACTATTAGGTAAGGTCCTCCATTGATCGGTGCTCGTACCCTCAACGTATATAAAAACGTCCGTAATTAAAAGTTCATTTGAGGAACTATCCAAATCGACCAATTTATATCAAATTTAGCTGCGTGGCACGCCACGTTGATAACTTCATGCCTAATCAGAAACCATGAGGGGCGCCTTCAGTTTTGGCCCAACAACGAAGCCCAGTAAGGAGACTAGGGCAGACGAAATAATTAAAGTAGTGCCTTGTTCATTCAAAGTGACAGACCATGTCAATGTTTAATGCAAGGCATGCCTTAATGCAAATGATACATGTGCCCATGCACTGGGCACTCAAACTACATGATGCTCTTCTCTGATGACACTATGTCATTTCCTATTCTTTTTCGAGAGTGCTTTCTCCTCCACGGGCAGCTGAAGTGGATCGAATTTTGGCTGAGCCGGTTCCTCCTGAAACATTGATGGTTGCCTTTGCAGATGTCCCAGCAGCCGTGCCAGCACTTGTCTCGATTATAATAGATGCACTTCCACCGGCAGCTGCCTTTGCGGATGCTTCAGCAATGGCTCTGGATTTTGTGTAAGACACCCTTTGTTTCTTATGGCCAGACTGAAAAAATGGAAAGAAATTACTTTACTAAAATTTTGTCTTTTTAAATCACCTCACTGAAATTTGCTAACCTGAAGATAGGATGAATTGACAGATGAATTGGTGTGACTTGAAGATGGTACTAGACGCTTTCCTTTACGTTGCTTGGATTGTGCAGGTTCCATTGCCAATGGATTGATATTTGCCTGCCTTGTTGCACTGGTGGCATGCTGCTGTGAAGGATTGTGTGACCCCGAGCCTCCCTGCAGTTACACACCAAAAGTTAGCGCATCTGAAATCAGCAAACAAATAACACGATAATAAAAGAATAAACACCATTGTCACAGTGCATGTTCTGGAGTTGTGACCATCCCCTTTACACCGACCACATTTGATTTTAGTACCAACTCTTGATGACTTAGTGCTTGATCTCTTTGGCTCTGAAGGATCTTTTCTCCTGTTTTTCTTTGGCCGGCCTGGCATCTTTTTCACTCTAGGAGGCAATGGTTTAGGATTTTGGGACACAGGCCATGCCGACTCATGCTCTACAGGTTGCAGGACATGTTGATATGTCCTCTTGTATGCCTCAAGAGAAAAACACATATGCACATATTTATTAGGCTCTTCAGACATCTTGAACAGGGCAGCACAAGCATGTGCGCATGGAATCCCAGAAACTTGCCAATATCTGCATGAGCATGTCCTGTTGTTGAGATCTACTGTGAACCTCCATTTTTTATCTCTCACTTCAAAACCAGCTTCACCATTCCACAAGACATGACAGTACTGGGTCCTATGCCTGATCTTACATACCTTCCTGATGATGTTGGGGCATATTTCCATTAACCACCTCTCACTGTTGCTCCTATTCTCTTGGATTCTTCTAGTCACAAGGATCCTTATGTCCTCCAACATTGTCAAGATAGGCTTAAACCTTGCTTCTATAATCCAACTATTAAATGATTCACTCATGTTGTTATCAACAGATTTACAATTGGATCCAACCTTGAACCAAGCTCGGCACCAATGTATGGGGTCTGCATTCTGCAAATCTTTCCATCCTCTAGGAGTTTTGTTGGCGATCTTATTCTTGTAATGATTAAACAACATCTCATTTGAAGCCTTCGCAATCTTCCAGAACCTCTTTTGGTACTCTTGTAGCCTATGTTTTTTCCTCCAGTTGGCATAAATGTGTCGTGCACACATCCTATGCTCAGCTAATGGAAACATCTCATTCACTACACTTAAAAGCCCCTGCATTAATAGATAAACTAAATGTTATTATCCAATTTTAAGGATCTCCGTGGCATATATGTCATAGGTTGTGGTCACAATTACCTTTTGTTGGTCTGTTATAAAAACCTATCCTTCTGCACCATAAGGGATATAGATATCTTTTTGAAGATGCCCAAGAAACCAACCCCATGAATTTTTGTTCTCATATTCGACAACAACATGCCCAGAGCTATTGGGTAAATCTGATTATTGGCATCCCTTCCAACAAATTGTGACAGCTCTCACCTTTCATAGGCCCCTTAAGAAAGCAAACCATCAAGCCCAATAACTCTCCTACATCCATCCAAGAATCCCCTTCGACATGCATCCAAACATATGTACATTCTCTGAAATACATGGTCAGTTTCTTCAGGATCTAGAGCAACATGCACACTGGTTCCATGATTACTTCGCTTCAGCTCCAATGCATAGTCAAACAACTTTGAGTACTCGCCAGTCTGACAATCCATTATCTTCCTGACAACCCTTGCCTTTGCCCTCTTAATCATTGTGATTGACACATCGACACCCATGTCTTCTTGTACTGTCTCCTTCATTGCTCTAGCTTTCCATGCTAGATTAGCTTTGATTGTACTCTCATACTTGTCACATATTCTTTTTGTAGATAACCTTTTATTTTTAAGTTCTGGGCAGCATGCATGATTTGGATTATATGTCACAATCTGAAACCAATCTGTCCTGGAGTTGTATGAAGCATGGAGAACCCAGGGACATCCCTTCCACATGCATACAGCCCTAAGCCTCTGCTTATCATTCTTGGGATATCTGATATTTACCTTCATCTTCAATGCATACCTTTCTATTGCATCTTTCAATTGATCCCTTCCTCTAAAGCACATATCCACAGCAAAATGTGGAGTCTCAGCATGACTATCAAATATTGGAAACCTGCAGTTCCTTCTCCTTGAAACACCATCATTGTCCTCATCATATGATGCATCATGATCTGAATCAAAGTATGCAATGCCATCTCCACCTTCATTGGCTTGAGCAAAATTGTTGACATCACTACCTCCAGGAACATCCAAAAAAATTGGGGTGTCAAATGGAATATCTCCTCTCTTCCTCGCAGCCGACATAAACTGTTTGTATTTATTTCTCATCTCCCTTACTTCATCATCTTCATCACTTGTAAATCCTGTGGCATCAAAATCACTTCCTGATTCTTCTTCCTCCTCATTTTCTGCATGTTGATCACCCTTTTCGTCATTCTGACCATCCTCATGAGTGGTAGGAGCCTCCAAATACATAATATTCACATCCTGTCCAGCACATTGGTTACCTTCTTGTTCATTCAAATCCATAATGTTCTCATCTCTGAATAAGGCAAAGACGTCCTCATCTCCATATTGTGTCTCTGTACCTTCTTCATTGCCACTCATGTCCAACTCAATTTGTTCAGTGTATATGTCAATAGCACCTGCAGATCCTATCTCATCAAGCATATCCAGGCAGGACTTATCATCTACAAGCAGCCTCATTCCACTATTTAGCTTTGCACCAATTGGCAACCAGTACATCCTAACAGATCTCTGAAAAGTGATGTGATCTATCAAATGGCCATTGAGCTCTGGGATTGATAATTTGTCCTTATCTATGTGTGATACTCCCAAATCCCCATTGCAATATTGCATCTGTGACCCATCAAGAACAAATTCCCCATTGAAATGAAATCTAACAGTCAATACCTCAGAATCTCCCATGTTAATTCCGCCCTACATATCCATTTCGTGGTCAAATTCCATAAAAAAAATCGGAGAACGCATTAAAAAGACAAAATGGTCATCCAGGTAAGATAACTTTCATCTCTTTACATCAATCTAGAACGCATTAAACAGTTACTAACCAACTTCATCCATGCAATAATTCAATACAACACTGTAAAGCGTGGAAAATTAAAACAAGGACATGGCATGTCAGAAAGAGACATGGACCAACCTATAGCAGACATGACATATGACACCAAACATAGCCATATAGTTTGGTTTTTGGGCACAGAACTCATATGGCTAAGGCAAACTAGGGACAACCTTTTTGTCTCGAAAGTTGATTGTGAAATCATGTCAAAGTGGTCAACTGGTCATGCCTCAATGCTTTACCATTTCAGGTGCTATATGAACCACCTGAATAAATAATTCAATATCGTTCATCTTTGTGCCATCTGCCATGCATCATGCATGACCTCTTTGCTAATATGCCTATGT